GGGGGGGGGGGGGGGAGTGCGAAGATTTAAAATGTTGTCGTCCGGAAAACTTTTTGGTTTGTCGGAAAAATTTTTCGGTTTGTCGGAAAAGTACTGCCCTTGATCCCCCCTCCCAAAAAAAAAACATGGGTCCCACGGCGCCACTGATTGTCATTCTACTTCCTGTTTTTTACCGAATACGTATGATGTCATTGACATCAACGAATGTTTTCACGACTTCATGTTTTCACGATTTCATGTTTGTCGATTTCAAATTGTACTATTCGTCGACTATTCGTCGACTATTCGCGGACTATTCGTACTATTCGTCGACTATTCGCTCTATTCGTCGACTATTCGCGGACTATTCGTGTTCAACACGAGAAATAAATCTGGTATTTTCAAGCATCCATGCATGTATTTTTCTGTTTATTATGTAAAGACAGTCTTTGAAAAGCGATAATTTATGCAGAAAAGCGATAATTGAAAAGCGATCATTTTCACATGTGAAATTGTCATAAATAATCTCACATGTGAGATTATCAGTTTTATCAGTGCTCGAAATCTCTATAAAGCAGTATACTTTATTAATAATATACAAGAAAATGTTACTTGACTGTGATTCGTTGCTTTCAATGCATTTAGTCCCAAACAGCAGTGCACAAATCTGTAACAAAAGTGCGCGCAAAAATCTGTAATAACAGTGCAAAAATCTGTAACAAACTGATCTGATTGGTGGAAAAACATTGTGCATGATGATAAAATCAACCAATCAGTTTAAAGCAGTTTAGTTTAAAGAAGTAACGGTCACAGATTACATGGCGCCGCGCTACATAAAGTAAAAGTTGACTTCGCGTGGAAAATATGGCTTTTATCTTTATTTTTAAATGGAAAAGCCTTTACCTTCAACAAGACTAACAAAACTTACACTGTTGAGTGGAATTTTCAAGCTGTTAGCGTTATATAATGTGCATGATATAACAAAGCCAGGAAAACTTTGCCAGTGGAATGTTCGTCACAACAACAATTGTCTCGAACATTTTTATATAAATTATTAATAAGTAATAGCATGGTTTGTCGTGAAATTTGGATAAACATGCACTCGTGAGTTTTTCAAAGACTCAAATAGCACTTTTGAGGTCTTTGAAAAACTCACTCGTGCATGTTAATCCAAATTGCACTCGAAACCATATATGCTATTATCTATACCAATAAACCATTTTATTATATGAAATGCAGTGCTTTATAGAGATTTCGAGCACTGATAAAAGCATAAAACTGATAATCTCACATGTGAGATTATTTATGATAATTTCACATGTGATAATTATCGCTTTTCAATTATCGCTTTTCTGTAAAAATTATGGTTTTTCAAAGACTGTCCTTATATAATAAACAGAAAAATACATGGATGCTTGGAAATACCAGATTTATTTCTCGTGTTGAACAGGATATCTCACTCGTTCGCTGCGCTCACTCTTGAGTTATCATGTGCAACACCCAAAACAAATCTGGTATTTCCGCGCACTCATGTATTATTCTCTATAATCTATAGCCGTGTTTACATTTGCAAACTGGGCATGGCCAAATCTTTGATTTGGCTGGTCTACACTTTGGTAGTGTAAACAAATATTAGCCTAGCCTAGATCTGACTTAGGTCAGAAAATCAGGACTCACAAATCTGGACTCACAAAAAACAATTATCTCGAGTTCTTCAAGTGCATGGTGTGCAGAAATGTCGAAAACTGGCAGGAGCAAGGAAAAGAAATTAAATATCTCTTTTATTTATTTTGTCATAAAACAGAACAGTCTAGACCTCTAGATCAATACCATGCAATCTAATAAAAAGATTTGAGGTAATATATGAACAAAGAGAGCGAGTGTTTCACCCGGATATCCAAACGCGAGAAAACAATGTATGAAAACACGAGCGCGAAGCGCGAGTGTTTTCATAACATTGTTTTTGAGTGTTTGGATATCCCGGTGAGACACGAGCTCGAGTTGTCTATATGGCTTCTCAAATGAATCGAGACGTAACAGAATGTTTTCGTTTGCTGATTTGAATAGAATTCTTAACCAAGCATAACGTAATTAGGAATTCTATTCAAGTAATTTTACATGCGTAATTATAGATATTTGATGAAAACACTTGACACGGCGGTATCCAAACAGCATGTTGTGACGGGCATGTACTAAAACACAGAACACTAATCCGGAACACTGGAACAGCCCGGAACACTTACGGAACAGCCCGGAACACCTACGGAACAACCCGGAACAGTCCGAAACATCTACGGAACAGCCCGGAACACCTCCAGAACAGCACGGAACAGCTTGGAACACCTACAGAACAGCACGGAACAGTCCGGAACACCTCCGGAACAGCATGGAACAGCCTGGAACACCTATGGAACAGCACGGACAGCCCGAAACACCTACTGAACAGCCGGAAACAGCACGGAACACCTATGGAACAGCACGGACAGCCCGGAACACCTACTGAACAGCATGGAACAGCACGGAACTCCTATGGAACAGCACGGACAGCCCGGAACACCTACCGAACAGCCTGGAACAGCACGGAACACCTACGGAATAGCCCGGAACAGCACGGAACACCTCCGCAACAGCACAGAACAACTCGGAACTCCTACGGAACAGCCCGGAACACCTACGGAACAGCCCGGGGCACATGGAACCACTGGAACACCTCAGGAGCTATGGCTTTTAGCCATTTAGGCGCCAGTGATTTGTTGCTTAGCACAATTATAGAGCTCAGAAAATATATGCTCTAATTATCAGTGGCCGGTTGTAGAAAATCCGCTTAATTTATCATTTTTGCGGTTCATATCTTCAGTTCGGTAAATGCTACGTGGACCAAAATACCACCATTCGATTCAGTGTAACGATAGCTACTCATTCCTATCGATAGATTTAGTGAATGGCAACATTATAACATTATAGCGATTTATGAGCTTTGAAAGTCAAACGAGCTCGTATATGAATAAATATGATCAAATTACGCAATATTACTGACAAATTATAAACATAAACATACCTTTCGCCGAATATAACTTCGTTCCATTGAGACGTATGCTCATTCTGATGTTCTTGCTGCAATAAGAAGTTAAAAATAACACGTATAGTGTTATTTTCAAGCTTCTATCTTTAAAATTCGACATTTAGTGCCGAATTTTGTATTTCTGCTCCGAATATGCGTTAATCCCAACCGGAAATACGAAGAAAACTCGTCAAAACAATGCGACGCTTGCATCGCGTGACTCTGGAAATGCCAGAAATGGATTCTACAGGTCAAAGTACACCCATACGCGTGAGTTTTACGTCATCCCGGCTAAAGGGAGCTCCTTATTGGCCAAGTATTACGTAATACAAGCGCGTGCTAGTAAAACCCGATACCTTGAAAAATTCAGAATAAATATTTCTAGTCGGCGTATACATACGAAACTTTCTACAGGACTTTCTACACGAAAGCGCTTGAATACAAAGAGTATTTTACACATATCCTTTCAGGAAATGACACCAAAGTTTAGAATATATTCAACTTTTTCTAATTTTCTCGTTTGAATGTTTGGCGAAGCGGTGAGTATAAATATATGATTGTTTCGGTTTGTGTAATGTTTTGACGGCACTTGACCCCCCGTTGGAAAGGTTATATTGTGAGGATTTCAATGGTGGCATTTATTTAATAGGGGGATAAATACTCGCCGAGATATTTATATTAGAAAAATTGTATCGAAATGTAATACGAAACCGGTTGTCGGGAAAGAGTTAACGTTTAGATTATATACAGGGTGTATCAAAAAAAGCGCAATCCTCGACTGAAATGTAAATTTCTAAACAAATAATAGACGAAAACGTTAAAGTTTACATTCATTTTAAAGCGTAGCCATTCAGCTTTCTAACAGTGGGTTGTTTCTTAAATTTGACTCATTGGTTCGCGGGTAATAATACTTTACGTCATTGCGATTGGAGATTAAAAAAATTGAGATGGAATAACAAATCGTTCTCATGAAAATAACTGATTTTTTCATTAAAACAAACAAATGTTGCATTTTATTCAATGGATTGTAACAATAAGTATAATTACGGCTTTTCTTCCGCTATTTTTAACTCAGTTTAAAACTTCAAATGCGATATAATTTTGGCTTGGACCATCTAAGCTGACTGACATCAACTTGCTATAATTTCTGTTTACATTACATCGCAATTCGATGACACTATAAAGTATCTGGTAATCCCATTTTAATTAATAATAAGCTAGTACCCAGGATTAATAAATATTCATGCCTTGGCGTGACTATGGACGAAAGGTTGTCTTGGGATAAACATATTGATTCAATCTGTTCTAAAGTTGGTGCCGGTATTGGTGCAATGAGACGTGTTAAACCTTTTGTACCACTGTCGACAACCAAAATGCTATATAATGCTATTATACAGCCTTATTTCGATTATTGCAGCTCTTTGTGGGATAATTGTGGAATTGGGCTCAAAGATAAGTTGCAAAAATACCAAAATCGTGCTGCAAGTGTAATTACTGGGGCAACCTACGATATTCGGTCATCTGAATTACTCAATAATCTAAATTGGAAACCTCTAGAAGAAAGACGAAATTATCTTAAATCTATTTTCATCTATAAAGTTCTGAATGGCCACACCGCACCCAATCTTAAAGAAGCATTTCATTTTAATAATGAAAGACATAATAGTTACAATCTTAGAAATTCGGATACTGATTTAGCACCACCTATGCCGAAAAAAGAATTCGGCAAGAGGTGCTTCAGTTATAATGGTGCCTTGCATTGGAATAATCTTCCCCATGAGGCAAAAATTGCTGAATCCCTAAACTCTTTCAAGTCGATATTGAAACAAAGAATGAGTTGAAATTTGCTTGCGTATAATCGTGCAGCTAAAATCAATTGTATTTATTTATTTTGTTATATTTTGTATTTCATGTATATAGCTAACTTTTTGTAAATAGGTAATTTCACGCCCCTCATGGAAACCAGCCTTCCAACGGCTGTTGAGGCTAGCGTGGTCTAAATAAAGTTTTGTATGTATATGTATGTACTCTGGCTCAGACACCAGAATGTTTTGACGATTTTTAACATTCGTTTACGATTTTCAAACAACCTGGTATCTTTTAAAATACTTTTAATTTGTTCTTACGTGGTTTTCCAGATGTAGTGACGAAAACATTAAAGTTTAAAGAAGAAAATTCTAACATTTAAACCGACTAAACAATAACATAGTAAACTTGCATAATTAAACAGCAACTAAAAATGATAGGTTTTACCAAATCTTTTCCTGTGCAATTATTACTAGCATTGGAGACAAGGATAATAGTTTGTTTGAAAGAGAAAAGAACAGGCTTTGAAGTAAGCCTAAAAGCGTTTAACT